CTCTTAGGATTGCAAACTCAGCAGTGTCTGTCTGCAGATCATTCTTCACCTCTCTCTCAGCATCTGCTAAGCTTGTAAATTGGTTTATAGGCTAAGAGGAATTGGGATAAATTAAGTTGTAAGGAATAGGGGTAAATCTTGAGATGGAAAGATCTTAAAATCTCAGAAAATAGGACAGACAGGCTGTGAGGAACAACACTGGAATCTATACAGATGGAGTAACATTGGTGTCTAGTACTTGATTAAATTTAAAACAGAGAGATTGAGATTGACTTTACAGGGCTGAGATTGTCTTGTCTACACTTTAGGCAAAATAGTACTGGAAGCTCCAGTTGGGTGTTCGTAGTTAAAAGCTTGAACACAGTTAATAGCATCATGTTATTATCTGAAATGCTTCTGAAGGAAGATAAACAATTTCAGTTTACTATGATTTTGCATCCCATATGGCACAAATGGGCCCAGGACCAAACTGGCTCTCAGCAGAAAGCTCCCACCTCCACACTCATTCAGCAGGTCATATTTAACCAATTTTTATATCTTGCCTGTACATCCACTGGTGGATCCATTCCAATCAATACTCTATGGCTTAAGGTTTTTTTGTGACACTTCATTTTTTACTCTCCTTGACTCTTCTGCCACTGTTGTTCATATTCCTTTGTAGATGATCTGTTTTCAGTCTCTCTGTGCTAATGTTTATGCTGAGTTATTATTTCCAAAAGTTAAATTTTGAGCACTCTCACTGCATTCCAAATTTCCTAAGAAAGAGCAGAAACACTACTACAATAATTCTCATGAAAACCCAAACAAATAAATCAATTAAACACTTGCATGATTCAGAAAGACAAAGAGATATTCATGCCCACATGAAAGAATGACATGATTGTGCTTGCCTCTTCTTTTTGTTGTGATATCCTCCTGCTTTCATTCCAAGTTATGTTACTGCATATTTTCCCAGTCTATCCAGATTAGGCAAGAAACATATTTTCAAAGGTACATGGTACTGAAGGATGCAGCTAGGCACCTATACAAGCAGGTGAAATCCCATAAAATTTTCTTGGATGCATAAGCACCTTTGAAAATCTGCTCTTGAATGTTTCACAAAAAGGGTTGAAGTTTCCTGGTAAATAACAAGCATTTGTGAATATCCTTAAAACTACAGGACTGGTAAGGACTTGCTTAAAAGACATTGTGATGGAATAGAGTATAAAACCAATGTGTAACTGGAGGTAAGAAATCTGAAGAAAAGAGATTAATACTAGTAGAAATTTAGGAAAATGGAAGATTGCTGAGAAAAGGCACTTCAAGATAAGTGTTTTCTGGCATCGCTTCCAAAACATCTTAGCTAAATTCCAATGTTTTTCTATGCAAATTCAATAGCTATGAAGGCATAACATATGTCTTCCAGCAATAGCTGTCCCTTGTGTAACCTCACGACTTAACAGCACTGATAAATGTACAAAGCTCTACTATCAGTAAGAAAAATGTATTTTTGAACACAGGCAGTAATGAGTAATTTAATGAAATTTTGTGTCATGATTAGAAACAACACTTTCTTACCATTATCAGAGGCCAAATCATGCAGGTTGAAGACAGACTTCTAGAACTACAGTACTACAAGTAATTTCTGTCTCTTTCTGCCGTGGAAAAACAGGGGAAAACTTTCATGCCACTCCTGAAACAAACTAAAGGTCATCCTCTGAACAGTATCCAAAACTTAGTATTAGACATAAATCGCTGTACTGCAGACTCCAATAGTTTGTCAGTAGCTCATTGCTCCATGCAGCAGCAGAAGGAACGAGGCTTGACAGCAAGTATTTAACTAATTGAGTCTAAATTTCTACATTTGGAAACCCCTTGGTGTTCCAAAACAACTGCTGGCAGCAGTGAAAAGTTCAGCTGCGGATACACATGTGTCCATGTGAAGGTACAAAGAAACCAAGCACTGGTTTATTGACAGAAAGGAAGGCAGGGTCAGCCAGATCTGCGTAACAGCACAAGCATCCAAACTACAGCTGACAGCCTTCAAAGGGCTTGCAGAGCCTCACCCAGAACTAATGTCTCCTTTTTTCTCTTCCAAAAAATTTTGTGTGTTTTCTGAAAAATAAAGGACAACCTTTCCTCAGTCTGTCTGTATTGCTTTCCTTATTTGGGGTGTCTTTCCCTTCAAACCAATTGTAAGTGCATAATATTGCTGTTTCTTCACAAGCAATTATCCTTTTGACACTACAAAATAATCCCACAGTATAGTTTATGGCTTGTGACCAAACTTTTCTAGCTGTCCAAGTGTTGCTGTGGTGCTGTCACTGCTTTGGATATCCCTGGCCAGCACAGCAGTCATTCCCAAGTGGTACAAACATTTCAGCCAGGTACTGGGATAGCTGTACAAGGCTTCCCAGATGAAGGCATATGGCAGTTAAAAAGGAACTGTGAAAAGTGTATGAAATTAGGATACAAGCTTTTATTTTCCCTCCACTGTGTTTTCAATGTTTTGAAAGGATGGCTAAAGCACCTGACACCCCGCTTCTCTCACCGACAAGGTTTCAAATGCGGACATTGAGACAAGCACAGGAGGAGGCTGACTCAGCCACCTTAGTCACATGGAGGGTACAGCCAGAGCTAACTTTTGGAAGACTGAACTGAGGTAACACACACCTACATTAACTTATGTATCTACATTTCTCCATCCAATTTAAAGAGAAGAAGAATTTAAGATATCTTTCTCAGTACATTGATATTGCATTCATCTCAGCTCTTTATATTTAGACTATGAGAGGTTTTGGAAAACTTTTAAAAGGTAGAAGAAGGAAACAGCATCCTCAAATATGATAGTTTTACAAAAGGGCAAGGAATCCTTCTGTCTCTTGTTATGCAACCCTGTAATGTTTTTCTTTTGAGACTCATTTTTAACTGAAACCGAAAATTAAAGTTTTCAAGCTAGCTAGAATTAATTACAGTTTGCATGTGAAACAAGTTTGATTACAATAGGGGGTTTCATTGCTATCTGAGAAAAACAAAATGCAAGATATGCAGAGAAGCTGATTCATCCTTTATCTTCTTCAGTATAAAGAAATATTAAAATATAGAATTGCAAATATTTGTATTTAAATAAATCTTATTCTTACCATAGATCAATAGTGATGACTCATGACTTAAGTACATCTCAAAGTTAAGCATTTTAATATACAAAACTGTGCATAAATACAGCGTGTAAACTGTGATGATTTCACACTTTCACAGATCAGAAAGTGTTCTGCAGATGAGTATCACATACAGTTAGTATTGTATTTTGAGGGCAAATGTTGGAATTTTACATTATACAAATTTATTAAAAACACTTAGAGGATGAACATAACATGGTCAAGAAATATAACACTAATAGCAATCAATCAATCAATCAATCAGTTTCCTACTTTGTTCAGGTCTAACTAGAAGAGTAAAGCAGCTGATTCAGTTGAAAAAATATCTTAATTACAGACCTCTGAGACTATTTAAATTCTATTTGTTAGGCAGAAATTACTAGATATTCAGACTATATCTATGGTTTGCAACATGAAATCCTAATTTATATTCAGTTAACCAAGGTGCAGGAATTATTCTTCCTACCTTCTCTCCAGGAAAACACTTATGGATACTTTGGAATCAGACATAAATAAATAAAGTCTAAACCCTGATGGCTGAAAAGTATTTATGTCACTTTAAACAAAATTACTGTCCATGCTAATTTGTATTCAACAGGTGGGGAAAAGATGCTGGTGTTAAGTGCACAAGAAGAAAAATTGAGATAAAAATGGAAGCCTGCCCATAAACACAATGTCCAAGGAAAAGAATAAATTTTAGAGATCTTCTCCTCTTATGTAACAGATGTTGCTGAACTGATTAAAAAACCCAAATATAGCTTTGTGGGTCATAGCGTGCAACCACAACTGAAAAAATACTTAGTGGCCTTCTAGTTAAAGGAATGGAATCAACAATATTACCAAAACACAAAACAATACATTCTCTGAGCACATCAAAGAGTGCCCAATAAGCTCAATATTAATTAGTCATATAACAGTGCACGATTACCTGTTCCCCTAGTTACACTAATGATTTTCAGTCTGATTGTTAAAGTAATTGAAAGCTGATTTTTCAGGTGGAAGTGCTTCAAGAAAAGAGTAATGTGGATGGCAGCTGAGATACCTGGAGATGCTCAGATACATGTATGTACAAAATTCACTATGATATTAGAAAAGAACACTCCCTTTATTCACAGAATAATTTCACATTCAAGAAACATTCCAGTTCTCATAATATCTAGAAATCTGTTTTTTTCTTTTAAGCATGTAGATTTTAATAATCTGAGTCTTCCAATTAAACAATTTTAACACTCTCTGAATTATTTGTATATACAGTTCTTCATATTTTCACACTAATTTCACACAAACTCATTCACAATAAAAACTAAATTTTTATTGTTGTTGCTGAAAGCTGATAATTGTGAATTATCCAAGGTGAAGACTGTAATTTTTTAAGAAGAGAGGAAAAAAAAGAAATAACCTAATGAATATCTTGGACTAAGCCTAAGTCTAAGCATGTCAGTCTATGCAATGTGTCATTACTACTAATAGCAGTCAGAAGCGTTAAGAAAAACTTTACCACTCTTATCAAACAAAAAGGGATTAAATTCTTCAGCAGCTTCTTCTAGGGTCTATAAGGGTATGCATTGCTCTATAAAACAGAAGAAATTTACTCTGAGGGAAAGCTTTTCAACAGAACTCTTTTAAAATACAAGTTAAAAGACTAGAGACGAGCTAAGGCATTTCTCTAGCAATCACCATAATTCTTTGACCTTTTTCATTCTCTTAACATCATGCATGGATTTTATCCAAATAACCACAGTTTATCAGCTACAGATTACACACATATGGTATGTTTAGATTACCAGGTAAATTCATATTTTTAAAAAGCTTTTATGGGATGTGCAAAATATGCTGAAGCAAGAAAACAACTGTGCAATGAAATAAGCATTCTTAATGTTTCTTTATTAGTTTATAGGAATCTGCAGCTAGTAACAATCTGCTTCTCACAGTTCAGAGCAAAGCTACTGATACACAGCTACTTACTTTGCATTGGTTTCCCTCAGGAAGTTGTTAAGAACAGTTATATTTAATACAGGATTAAACTTTTCACAGCTAATACAGTACATAAAATTCACAAACTTCTTCAAACATGATCTACAAAGGAAGGAGTCTAGAGTCTACAACACTCATGCATTAACTGGTTTTCTATGTTGTCCTGTATATTTTTCTTTTTTTCCATGCAAGACTCCTTCAGCATTGCCGACCTGTATTCTCGAAGATGGCAGATGGTTACAGAAATCTCAGACACGTTACAAAATCAAATCATAACCAAATAAGTGTCTGAATAACATTAAACTGTTGTGCTTAATGAGGTTTAGTTAAGAAAATGAGCTCAGGAAAACACTGTTCATTTTTATACTTGTTTGTGTCCTACAGAAGAAATGGATACCATGCAGAAATTCAAACCTGCCTGGCATTGTTTTGTCTTGATTAAAATTCAGCACATTAAACAGGTCAGATCTATGGCTACATGACATACCAGAACCATGATATCTTCCAATTTTGGATCAACAGTGTCTTGCAAAGGTTCATTTTGACCTGCATTCTAATTCAGCACATTCTGAGAGATAAAACTTTGTTTTGAAGAGTCAGTAATGAACTGCAGCACAACACAGAACTTCCACTGAAACTTTTGAATTGTGGAATTAAGTCAAAATAATGCTTTCAGTTTTGCAGCAGCATATCTGACCAAGACTAAAGGCATGATGAAGTCAGTAAAATCTTGTAAAATAATTTTCATGCACAGAATGGCACTTTTGAACTACCTTGTGCAACACAGCAGAGTAGGTGAAATTATTGCAATTGCAATAGGTGGAATGAAGAACTGAGCAAAGAAAAGATGTGTTCACAATGAGACCTGAGGCAGACAAGTTATTAGTCAAAAGGTATCTTAGGTGGCAATTTTAATATGTAATAAAGGTAATAACTGTAAAAGTCCTATGTTTCACATTTTAGATAAGACCTCTCACATCTGTAAATATTCATTAGCATCTCTAGAGTAAACCCCTTATTATACTGAGTTGAAAGACATACAAGCTAGTTGAATCACTTTTCTGGGAGATGCTTGAAGGAGTGTAGTCAAATTTCTGCTTCACAGAAATATTCAGGTGTTGATGTTATTGCTTCAGACTCTGTATTTTGTTTTGCCATGATCGTTGATAACACATATGTGCTGAAAAAAACAGAACAGATTGCAAAAGTATGGTTGAGTGCATTATAAATTATTAATTAATTGTTCAGAAATACTTAGGCTTGGCCAGCCTGGTGATCTTACAATTACTCTTTCCTTTCCAGACATCTGGAAGTGAATTCTGATTTCACTTTCTAGCTACAGCAAGTTTTCCCACTTGGAATTCCCAGCTATGAGGTGCACCCCTGGGAGTACCACAAGAAGCAAAGGAAAGGTATGCACCTTTCTTCCATCCTCAGTTCTCTGAGAAAAGGGACAGGCAACATCATATTCAGACAACCCATCTGACCTGTGCTTGTTTTGCTGCTGTCTCTGCACATACTGGCAATGGTGGACCTGAGAAAACCCAGGCTCACAAAGATGGAAATTTAGGGAACTCTTAGAGGGAGGGAACTGATCACAGTGCTGAGCAAGAACTCCTTTGTATTATTTGAGGTTTTTCAGGGAGTTTTGTACTCACTGAAAGGATCCCAAATCCCAACCATGTCAAAGACACACTTCCACAGGGCCCCAAAGAGGAGAAAAATTGTGGGATATTTATGAGAATATAGAAAAAGTAGACCAGTAATTTTTTAAAACTTTTTTTTATAAGAAACTTACATTTAAATCTCTGAAGTGCTCATTGTAGTCTAAGGCATAACCTACCACAAATAAATCTGGAATTTCAAATCCGTAATCTGTATTGAGACAAATAACAAACACCATCAATATCAGATCAGTGGCAGTTGTAAGCCCTTAAATTCATGTATGGTTCTCAACAAACAAACTCTACTTATATGTAGTCAGTTGGGCTGTGTTACTTTTGAATCTGAGACATCATGGTCAGCAGTAGCCCCATAACCAGTTCCCCGTCACAGAGTACTTGTGAAAGGGATGTGAATAGCAAGAGGAGAGGAGAGGAGAGGATAATTTTGTATAAAACTATCACTGGTACATTGTGGAAGGAAGCCAAAATCAGAGCTGGAACATTCTGCTTGCATTTGGAAGTTCCATTGGTATATATGTGTGAAGATTATTGTCCTATATCACAGTAATGATGGAAAAATGTGGAATATTAAATCAGAAGTAACTTTCATATATATATATATATTTTTTTTTTTCTGCTAAGAATAGCAAATCTAGCTCATATTTTATGCTATCAAAATTTGTCAAATGCTTCTTAAATTAATGCCCCAACCTTATGAAGATTCAAGCACATGCTTAACAAAGTAAATGCATGCAGTGCACCTCAATTACACAACTCACACACCTGAAGCCAAGCACAGACATGCATCTTTTTGAGTGTGAAGGTCTCTGTAATATCAGCACTACATAAAACAAGTTAGACTATTTCCAAATTGTTCTCTAAATAACTAGAGGAAAACCCAATCTTACAGACACAAAAATAGGTCCAGATAAAAAATTCTACAGGTATCCAGGTAAGAAATTTATTCAGTTGTTTAAGATTGGAGGTTATTTGTACTTTGGAATTGTAAATTTAGGTAAGTGAGGAAATGCTACACCACTGTCAGTGATTTACAACAGAGATCTCTGATGTTTAATAAAATTCATCACACCATGAATAAACAAGGATAAAATTTGTTTCATTCAAAAGTTTATACATAAAAATATAAAGCTATCCTTCATTAGAGTAATTTTATTGCCTCTTTTATATGTTTAACATTAGTGAATCCAGTCAAATATATGCCTTAATTTACTGGATTAAGTTCCAAATTGTAAAAAATAACACTCCACTGTGTAAAAAGTTGTACAACAAAATGTTTGGATCATAGTTCAGATAACAGGGCTAAAACCTCAGAGCCATGCCCAACATTTAAGTAACTTTTACTTGATAAATTTTCCCTCTCTCCCACAACCCTCTTCAAATCAAAACTCTTCATGCTGCCTCCTGGTACTCACCTGCCTACTCTCCTTCTACCCTCCTCCCCAGTTCAGCTGACCAGAGACTTCTTCAGTAGCAAATACTGGTTGATCTCTTCTAGATGGATCTATTCTTTTCGTATTTAGCCACATACCTGTTATTACATCATTTATTCTAAATAAGTCTAAAATGACAATTGCTTGGTATAGCTCCATTTACAGCTTCATAATAACACAGTATAAGGACCAATAATTTAGAGAAAAGTGGTGCTGGTGTGGTGCAAACTGAACAGCAGGAGAAAGTTTAAAAAGCCCAATTTATCTTCTGCTTTTTAGGGGCAGGGATTTAATTACAATATCAGTGTTTTTATTTTGGACAACTAACTTTAAAATAACAGAAGTGCTTTTCTGAATAAAAAAATGAAAAACTTGTTAATGTTTAGTCACAATAAAACACCTTTCATGCTCAGATGGAATCCTGCAGCTCCTCCAGAGAGATGCAATGAGGAAGGAAAAAGAAGAAATGGATATTCTCTTCAATATTGTTTGTCAGAAACAGAAGATAAAACACTCACCTTTCATTGATAAAATTAAACCCTTTCAAAATTTCCCAATAAAGTTCATATTCTGCAGAAAATCTAAGTAGGGTGGGCTTTCCAAATTACATTTATACAAATCCTTCCATTGCATCCCATAGACCCATTGACAACTGGCATTTTACAATGCTTCTAGCAGTCCACAGAATGGGATGAAAGGCAAGTGACAGGGTAGTGGTAACTTCTACTGTCAAGTAGAGATTTTAGAACACTTACAATCTGGTCTGTACCCATCAGGTCGAGATGTTCTTTTCACCAACAAACTGTAATTAAAAATAAAATAAACCCCATTTAAATCTAGATATGTAATGGAATAACACACATAAAACAATTCCCTTTATCAAAATCTTCTGAACCATGTGAGTCCCTGTTCTTGTTCTGTTTCTCTTCCTGACAACATCCTGACTGCAGGGAAGAGCTGGGTGTATTCCCCTCCCAAGTCCATCAATGCCAGTCTTTAAATGGCTGGAGGATCATCGCCAAGGCAGAACAATACAAAACATTTCCCCTCCTTTCCTTCACCCTGCCCTTAGTGACTCAGGCAGCTCCTCTGCACAGCTCTCCTTCATACTGCAGCATCAAATTAAAGCAGGATGTCTGAATGGGAATCTACTCTGGAAAATATGCTGGACTAGACTAATTACTTACTAAGTTTTGTGATTGTTTTACTCACCTTGCTACTTTAATCATTTTTGGCTTGTATTTTTCTATATTGTTAAGCAGAACCTTCATGGTCCTTCCAGTTCCAACAATATCCTTATAAAACAAGAAAAATAAAGTCAGTAAAACAGAAAGGAAAGCTGAATGGAGGAAATCTGGACAATGACTGAGAAGTTTCACATTCTTATTTTGTGGAGATGATTTATTTTTCCAGTGCATTGTAAGCCACATCCAAAAAAGGTCATAACTGAGCTTGCACTCTTTGAAGCAAGCACTTTCTATTCATAAAATTATGAGTTCAAGGACTGTCCACTTCCTCTTGAAAACAGCTATGTTGCAAGTACTCAGGATGTAACTTGGGACTGGAGATGACTCTACTTGGCACTGCAAGGATGTAGGGATTCAACTTCTCACATTATGCTTGAGATCACAATATGTCCCCATGTCTCCACGTCAGGACTAATTCTGCCCTAGTTGTTGTATTAGCACAGTACAAATGTGATTTCTCCAGAGCTGCCATATCCAATGAGATCAGTAGATACCTGTCTAGAAAACTGACTGTGGAGAGCAGCTGTTGATCCTGAGCTTTGGGATCAACAGCTTGTTGGATTAGCAACACCTTGTCTCTGCCCTCCAGTTGTTTAATAGCATTAATGAAATTTGCTGTGGACATTTTTAATTTCTGTTAAAGCAGCTGGAATGAGTAAATTTGAGCTCTTAGCAGCTATTCAGGTAACCAGTCATCTCAATGGCTGATAACTTTTTTTCCATCCTTTGCTAAGAGAACTTTCGACAGTATACAGTTTATTACACTGTCCAGCTTATTTCCCATACACGCAAACTGGTTCTGAAATGCCAGGCAGATCCTAATGTGCTCTCTAGCTGTCCCAGTTGCTTATTCACCATTTTCAAAGAGAATCACCTATCTTAATTATGTAAGAATTTATAGCACCAGTGAGGTGACATGTTCTTTCCCTCTACAACTGAACACTGCTGACTTATATCAGCAACAGCTCTGTGATGGGCTGTCCCCTGGGGTCACTGCTGGATGGAGAGCTGGATGCAGGAGCTGGGGGCCTTGAGGGAATGACTGACACTCCCAGCCAGACTGTGAACAACTTTGGGGCTGTAAATCATATGCAGGGCCACTATTTCAAAGTCATGCATCTGTGAAATGCAGGGCATCACTGCAGTTGATTCACTGCAGTTGATTCACTGTCCTCCAAGGAACAGAACAACTTGAAGAACAGGAGCTGATGAAATCATAGAAAGAACAAATCAAATGAGGCAGAAACAAAGACTCCTGGGTATCACAAGGCAGAGCACCAGTCAGAGTGACAGCAATGTAGTTCGATCTGTCACGCAATTGCAAAAAGACTGAGAGGCCACTAAGCAAATCAACCCCTCTCCCTCTTCACCACCTCCCAGCAAGAGAAGTGTAAACACAGACAGGATTTAGAAACAGAACAGCCAATCATGATTTGGCTGTGTGACTTTATCTAAGTACAATACGACATAAGCACCCAGCTTACCTCCACAATTAGAACATTCTGGAAGAAACAAACAAAAAGGAATACAATTACTTGATAGTCACATAGTAAAAGAAACAAATGTTTTAAAAAGGGAAATTAAGATAGGTCCATGTGCATATGTACAACACAGTAGGACACAAGGAGTTTCTGGTTTCATTTCTGTGCCCTGAAAAAGAGCCAGCCATAAGAGCAAGCCCTGCAGTCAGGGACCACAACTTAATTCACTCTGTCTAGATTATCCTCTTTGTCCAAGAATGGATGTAGCTTTGGAAAATAAAATTAGATGGAAGAAATCCAAATAGGATGAGCTTCACTTCATTCCAGCATCTCTAGCTGTGTACTGCAGTGTACCCTATAGTTCACTAAAATACTATTTCCAATAGTATTAAGTATAAGAATACAGCAATAATATTCTTTCTCTGAAATAAATGCTCTTCCTCCCTCCATCCACACTTGAGCAACTTCACAGTAAAGGATTAGAGGCCAAGCTGTAACACCCACTCTCATACTGCAAAGCACCCTCTTTCTCTTCAGATACTGCTGCTGAAATAAGTATTATTTGAAGAGAAGAAGAGTGGCCCAGCCAAGAGCAGTGATGTCAAGTTTTATGACAGTATCACTACACAGGCTGAATCTTTTTGCTGAAATGGTTCATCACTGGTCCAGGAATTACAATGTCTAAGCAGACTTCAGTTCTTTTACCAAAAGCAATAATAAGATGTAATGTTCTTATTAGAAGAAATAAAAATCTGTTTATTAGTAGGCACGATTAAAAGGATGAACTCTTACAATATTGCATTAAGATCTACTTTCTGAAGTGAAACCCACAGTAGCAAGAGGAAAGTTATTTCACAAATACCTTTATCCATCTATCAGTGTATACACCTTATATGGATGTGGATGCTGTGTGTCCTGCAAAATCTCGAGACCACATAGTTTCATATCCATGCAGTATCCACCAGCCTACTTTACATTCCACTTCCTTTCTATCAGGCTTGTTGGCTTTTGCTGCATACATAACATGGAGACTAACTTCTTTTCCATAACAGAAACCCAAGGATGAGAGTTGTAAGAGAGACTCAAACACATGGAGAAGGAGTGTGTGAAAGAAGCATGCTCACAAACAGCACACCTTTAATAGCTTCATTAACCGATACGTAAATAATTTTTAATCTTCAAACCAGAAATTATTAATATAGATTATCCATATTTATATTCATACTGCAGCTCTTCCTAATACTCACAGTGCTTGGTAGGGAAACATGGCATAGTTCATGCATTAAGCACTGCAGGAACATGTTACCACACACTGTATTATACCTGGATGCTTCTGAAATGGCAAAACACTTGGTAAAGGTGTGGAGGGAACTCCCGGCAGCAGTTGAGCAAATGTCAGCAATGGAGATACCACTCAAGAAAGCCACTAATTTAGACTGAGCTCTGGTGGAATGTATATTAATCTTGGAGGGAGGCTCCTTTTTGGTGTTTTCATAACAGGTTTCACTGGTGGTTATCCTGCTTGGTACTCCTGACTTTCAACTTCTCAGCTGCTGACACAAACAACTTTGGATCTCAAACACCTAGTCCTGTGAAGGTAAGAACTTAAAGGCCTCTTAACAACAAAAATCTGAAGACACCCCGCCTCTAGAAACTTCTTCCTTCAAGAAAAAATGGATGTATGAAGAACCAAAACCATGTTCAGGAGAAGCTTATGACAGGTGTATAGGAACATATTTTTTTTTGAAGGAAACCATTTGGATACAAAACCAATCTGGTTCTCATCTGGCTTTCTGTATGAAATCATAAGTGGGAAAAACACTTCTGAGGACTAGCTCAGGACACCTGGGTCTGAGGCATAAGGAAATTACTTGATTCAGTCCGTGGATACCTGAAGATAATGTGCAGGAGTAATGGCTTAACCACCCCAAAGAAATTGTGCAGCTGGTGATATATGTAAATATTGATGTGTTCATACACACACACACACATATATATGATATAGGGAGAGAGCAAAGGAGTTGACAAGGAAAGAACCTCACCAGAACTAAAAATGGAAATGAACCCTTTAGTACTAGGCCCAATGAGAGTAACCATGATCAAACACAGCCCATGGATCTCAAGGCAGGTCCATAGCCTTGAGACAGGTTCAACAAAGTCAGTCTATGAGTCAGGGTCTGGCTCAGTGGCTGCAGTAATGTACAGGTCTGGCTGCAGCTGAGCTGAAGGTCAATACCCACGCAGCACAGACAGGGACTAAGAGCCCAGGGCTGAGCTGGTGTCCCTGTGCCCACAGGTGTGAGTAGAGGCCCCCAGGGACACAGGTCATAGCCATTAGCATCTATTAGTGCATCTCCTAGTGCACTGTGACAGATTGAGAGAAAAGCAAAGTCCTGGGACATTTAATTGACAGACAAATAAGTTTCTTTGCTACCACAGTTGCTTCAGCTGTTCTGTCATGATCAGCAGTAGGGATTCTCTTGCTTGCTCACATGTGGGAATCACAAAGTTGGACAGAATGAGGGGACAGCAGCCCCCCTGGCCATGGAATTTGAGTTAAACAATAGGGAGGAGAAGACTTTACTATTTAACTTGTGAGAAAAAATAATCATAGACATAATAGAAAATGGCACTGAAGAGACCATCAAAGATCATATTCTGTTGGGTTACAGTAGAAATGTTAAACTATCTTTCACAGATACCTGATTTACCTCTTCTAGAACATGATGAGTACTTCAGAATCTCCCCAGGGAATGTGTCTCAACACCTCATTATCTAAGAGCAAAAATACAATAAGAAAACTTCTCTTGATATTTAGCCTGAACTTATTTTGAAGAGAACGTGGGAAAAGCTTTGTTTTCTTCTCTTTTCTCTTCTATATTTGAAAGACATATTTCCTCAGTTTCTTCTTCTTCAGATTGAACAAACTCTATTTATTTAATGTTTTCTCATAAGTTGTATTTCTTAGCTTTCTGATCACTCTTTTGTTCTTCTCTGGAATCAGTCCAGTTGGTCAGAATCCTTCTCCAGTTGTGGTGTTCCAAATCAGAAAGAAGTCTTTTCCAGTGTAAAGAGGAATAAAAGAACCACTTTGTATGTTTTATAAATAATCCTCCTTTCTATGTATCCTAGTACAACAGTTACATCCTTCATAAAAATATACTGGTGTCTCATGTGCAACTTGTGATCCACCTATTGTCTCCAGGACTGCTGCTGAGTCAATCCTCCCTCACTTGCATTTATGCAAAAGATTACTTCTGTATAAACACAGAAGTTGGTATTCGTCTTTATTGTCATTATGTGTCATTTTTTGAACAAAATTCTTAAAATAATTTCTTAAGATCATAACATCTCGTAGTATTTTTCCAGGTAGTATGAGTACCATTAAATGCTAATTTCATCTTTTCAATCATGAATTAAATTTTGTTCAGTCCCTGGAGAGCGTGCTTTAATGCATCTCGTCTGACAGTGAAGTATAATTAACTGTTTCTTGAGAACAGCTTTCCAACCAGTTACACATCTGTCTAATAGAAATTTAATTTTGTCTGTGCTTCCTTATCACAAATGACTCATATGAAGGAAAGAGGATTAACGTGGATCCAGACATGCCTGAAAGGTTTGTCTGGCTATAGGAGTGATAGTCACCTGCATATGACTTCAGCTGAAGCACAAGATCTCATATTTATTGACTAACTTGACAAGGAAGGATTTTGGTGGACGCTGTCTCTCATCCACAGAGTCAAGGAGTCCAACTGTTGCAAATCATACACATTGGGGAAGTTCCTATAAGATGTCTAGACCAGAAAACATATGTGCTGTTTTGTATTATGCCCATTCTTATTATTTCCAAAACACTGATGAGGATTTTCTATACTATGGGGAAATCCTGTAGGTAAGGCCTTTGCCACTATAAAATATTTAGATATGAAAACATTTTGTAACTATAAGCAAGCAGGCATCCTAATTGTTCAGAGTGATACTTTAATCTCTGTTATCTTTATGCAGGGTGACTGTGCCTAAAGTCTCCACACTTTTCAGTCATAAACTGCTGCTTACGACCGAAGCCATTCAGAGTGGTTTGCCATCCTTAGGTACACAAATCCTCCCCTACAAAATACTGTGCTGGGAAACTGACTGTGTTGCTGCCTATCCCCTGCCTTTCTACTGCTGAAGCAGTTTACAGATAGAAGGTTTCAGAAAAGGGATGGAATAGCAGAGTAGTAGAGGAACAAACTGCAAACTGACAAGAAATGGTTTGATATACAATGTCCAAGACTAGACAGAAGTGATGTCCAACTAAAACTGGTTGAAATAGATCAGCTTATCCTTGATCAGATAGTAGAGGATGAAAGAAGAATGCAATGGATACAACAAATTAGTATATTATCAGTAATGTCAACATCAACCTAAAGGCACAGCTGGCTGTGCCCAGCATCTCTTGTGAAAGGTCAGTTATGTGGAAGAGCTTATTCAGCTTCACTGTGAAGTGCCCATGTAAGCCAGTGTGCAGGAGACTGGTAAAACTCATCAGCTTGTGGTGCTGCAACAGCCACTGATAGCTGGACAAAGGACTAAAGGACACTGAAGAAAAGATCCTTCTCAAGTATGTGTGTTTGAAGCTCCTGTACCACATAGAGCAAGAACGTTTTGTCCTTTCAGATATATTTGAGGCAATTACAAAGAAGGAAACCACATGAAAAGAAAAGTAATCCAGCCTTCTGGATTCTGTCTACTTTTGAAACTCAGAGAACAGGATATAGAAATATTTACTGCATGTTGACTAGACTAAAGATGGCTTAATTTCTGAGCAGAGCCATCTTCACCAATACAATCTCTGAAGTACATCCAGAAATCTAATAATGGTGGTAATATATCTTAGAATGAGACAGAGTACACTCCGTTTTTAAAAATATGTCCTAGAAAGATTTCATACACAGTCCAAATAAAACGGGATGCTGGCTTCAGGGAATGAAACACCTTTCTATTGAGTCATTGCAAAAGAATCAACATTGCAAAACAAT